TCTTTTGTTTGGTTTACATGATGAAGAAAATTTATTTAAAGCAATTATTCAAGAAATGTTTTGTTTTTAACCAGAGCCGTCACATGACTTTTGGAGGCTCCCTGCAACTTAAATGCATTAAAAAAAATTGTAATTAATTTTTTCAACATCACAAGTTTGTAATCCTAAAATATCTTAGGCCCTTTGCAGTCTCAGGGTTTGCGGTGCCCACATGACGGCTCTGGTATTAACTTATTATTGATTTCTATTTTCTTGACATCAGCTTTGTCCGATATTATGGAGAGAAAAAGGAGCATGAATATCAGAGATTCTGGAAAACCTTAATATTTATTGAATTTATTTTGCAAATCTAAATGTATTTCTACAATAGTTGAAAGTAAACAATTCATCTTTTAATTTAATTTAAACTTCCTTTAAAAAAAAAATCTGCAGATGGCTGTGACAAAATACAAAGACACAGAAGACAGCAGCTCTTCCATATATGCCCAGGGCGACCCATTTGATCCAGTGCTTGATTTCTCCAGATATCTAGAGGATAATGATACAATTGTAGACACTGACATTGTGGTTTGGGTTACCTCTGGTCTCTACCATATACCACATGCAGAAGATGTTCCAAGCACCACTACAACTGCCAACCAGTGCAGAGTTTTCCTAATACCATATAACTTTTTCAATCACTGTCCCAGCATGGCAGTTAGTGACGCTCTTCTGGTTAGGAAACGTTCTAGTACAGACACAAGTGACACAAAAAACCCACTTGTATTTAACACATTTGGAACTGCCGCAAGTGAACCTAAATGTTATCAGAAAGAGAAAAAGTTAGAAGAATTTCAAGGAGATATAGAACTTGTTTAAAATAGTTTATAGTTCTCATCCCAACGTGGCCAGGTGCCAGTCTGGGTTCAAAGACAACAAAATAGGGGAAGATTTATTTAAGTAAGACAAAGTAAAATGTTTCCTCTCAAGATTCTTCAGTGAACATAATATAACCTGAATTTCATTACACGCAGTATACACAGAAGATAAGGAAAATACAGGTTCATGGCCCATAGAAATAAAAATACAAATTATGGACAAATGTCGAAATGTAGTGAATAAATCAGGAAATAGTATTGTAATTATGTAAAGTTAAGGAATTGGTTGACATGCCGGAGGATCAAGGTCTCAAATCTGCTGATTGAATTTATTTTCAATAATTGGTCAAGTAGCATACAATACCGGAAAGTGTTTGTCATCAATACAAGTGCCAAATTCTCCTTGGATATTAATAAGCTTAGCAGTTGCACCATATTTTCAATGAGAAATCAAGAGAAAAAAATGTTTTTTCCAGTTGGTCACTCTGAACTCTCCCCCTTCATGTCATCAGCTTTGACTGATCTTATGGAGAGAAAAATTAGGCTTTAAAGCTGTACACCAAAGTCCTTCACTAGGAGTTCAAACTTCACCAAAGTCCTTAACTATGAGTTCAAACTTCACCAAAGTCCTTAACTGGGAATTAAAACTTTGCAAGTAAACCTTATTAATGTCTTTATTGTTAATGGGTAATTTTCTCTTAGAGTTCATCTACTTGCAAAACCAGCTCTGTTAAATTAAGAAATTGAGTCAAAGAGTTGACACTGAAATGTTAGGAAAAAAATAAATATTTTTTTTTTGTTGTGTATAAGCTGTAGCTTTTCTAGTTAGTAACAACATTTAGGTCAAGTTGATGACATAAACTTGATGACATAAACTTGATGACATAGCTTTGATGACATAAACTTGATTATATAGCTTTGATGACATAAACTTGATTATATAGCTTTGATGACATAAACTTGATGACATAGCTTTGATGACATAAACTTGATGACATAGCTTTGATGACATAAACTTGATTATATAGCTTTGATGACATAAACTTGATGACATAGCTTTGATGACATAAACTTGATTACATAGCTTTGATGAATAAATAACTAAGCATATGATTATATAATGTTTCAAACCTGTCACAATCATACTGCTTGCCAAGAATTTACTGGAGGAAATAGCATTAGTAGGACAAGATATGTGGAAGCTTGAATCAAAAGACAGGACAAATAAGATTTGAACGTTTCATATCAGCTTGAAAGCAGTCCTTCATTTTATTATCAAGAATTTACGGCAATAAACATTTTAAGACTCATTTATACAAAGGTTTGATGATTCAAGCTGCAGAGGCAATCATCAGTTTTCTGCTTTAGGATTTAAAGACTTGCAATAATTATTTTCATTTCATTTTATAAACCCTGCCCCCTACCCCCTTCGCTTGCAATCACTATCAATCCTAACTTTAGGATTTTGGGATGGGGTGGAGCGGGTTTGAGGGACAGCAAGCATCCAAGGGATATAGTCGTTAATTTTTACTTAAGTTTATGCCTGGGTAAAGAGCTGCGAAAATATAATCGGGATTTTATAAGGATTTATTGTTGAAAATAAAATCTTATTTGCTCACTTATTTACAGACAAAAATGTTCATACTAAAAAAATAGAAAAAATAAATATTTTAACATCTTTTTTAAAAAAGAATTCCTTTTGAAGACAAGTTTAATAGCACTAAAAAGTAAATAGTAATTGTCTTAAAATTCATTACACAAAGGAAGTCTGTGCAGAATATATTTTCAAAAAAAACACAAAAAAAACATATTCAAGTTTCTTCTAGATAAAATTGGAATCCTTTGGCTTCATAGAGTGCCTTACTACCCTTCTGACCAGACTTTCTTTGCGTAATAACTTAATAAACATTGTTTTCTACTTTTTAGTGCGTTTAAACTCTTAAACTCATCATGGAAATAAAGTCTTTTTTAAAAATTATTTTTGTATTATGTTCCAATGCTCAAACTTTGTGTCTTTATCACATTTTTTCAACTCATAATTAGATAGACTTTTAAATGTGTAAGCCATGTACCCCACCACCCCAGACTTTTAAATGCATAAGCCATGTACCCCACCACCCCAGACTTTTAAATGTTATAGCCATGTACCCCCCCCCCCAGGTTAAAACATCAACAATGTTTTTCTCTCATAAATTAGATAGACTTTTAAATGTGTAAGCCATGTACCCCACCACCCCAGACTTTTAAATGCATAAGCCATGTACCCCACCACCCCAGACTTTTAAATGTTATAGCCATGTACCCCCCCCCCAGGTTAAAACATCAACAATGTTTTTCTCTCATCATTAATGTATCTAGCCTAGCGGCTAACTATGTAAACCATATCTCTATCATGATATGTGTACATATATAATTGCTCTAATGTTTCTGAGTAGCAGAAATTAAGCTAACTTGGTATTGTAAGCGCAAATTGATGCAATTGGACGGTTTCTTCCCTTAGTTTACCTGTAACTATCTCCCTTTATTAAGAGTTTCTCTTCTCTTCTTTGTCCCTTACATTACTTGAAAATATGTTGTTTTTTTGTGTCCACAATGATTTAAAAAAATTATATTTAGCTTGTTTATGAAATTTGCAGACAAAAATATTTTTTTGTGTATAATTTCTTGCTGCTAAATTTAACCTTTACCATTTTAATTTCATTGAAATGCTGTTCTAAATTTGTTGTAATGTCTCATAGGCAAATGTTATATTTTGTTATAATTGTTATGATGTACATTTTTAACATTTTGCTCATACTTTATACATCTTCAACAACTAAAACAAAATTCATTGACTTCATCTCAGCAAGCAATATCCCATTTCATCTTTTTTTTAGAAATCTTTTTTTGTAATATGAATTTTTATTTGAATTCTGCTCATAATTGCTTTCATTTTTTGTCTTTCTGTGATATTTTAACATTCTCTCATTGTAGTTCAAATTATATTATTTTTATGAAATAAAGATAGTTGACCAAAACTAGAGTTTACAATGCAATTAAGTTACTCTGTAAGATCTGTTAATGTGTCATGGATCAGAAATTCCGTTTTTATTACTATTTATAACATCAAATAAAAATAACGATTTTCAAAGAAAATTTCATTTATTTATAAAACTGCTTGTTCTGCCTTGACTCCTGTAACAATGAAAGTATCCACATTCATAGAACTGCTTGTTCTGCCTTGACTCCTGTAACAATGAAAGCATCCATATTCATAGGACTGCTTGTTCTGCCTTGACTCCTGTTACAATGAAAGTATCCACATTCACCAGCACAGACACTACAGCGAGAGCAGTTTCCCAGGCTGATATTTTGGAATGATAATTGTCAGAGTTGGCACAGTCAACATGTAGGGACGGTTTGTATTGCTTGGTCAGATGAAAAGATTTTTGTGCTGGCTTTTCAAACGATTTTCAAAGAAAATTTCATTTATTTATAAAACTGCTTGTTCCGCCTTGACTCCTGTAACAATGAAAGTATCCACATTCATAGAACTGCTTGTTCTGCCTTGACTCCTGTAACAATGAAAGTATCCACATTCATAGGACTGCTTGTTCTGCCTTGACTCCTGTAACAATGAAAGTATCCACATTCATAGGACTGCTTGTTCTGCCTTGACTCCTGTAACAATGAAAGTATCCACATTCATAGAACTGCTTGTTCTGCCTTGACTCCTGTAACAATGAAAGTATCCACATTCATAGAACTGCTTGTTCTGCCTTGACTCATGTAACAATGAAAGTATCCACATTCATAGGACTGCTTGTTCTGCCTTGACTCATGTAACAATGAAAGTATCCACATTCATAGAACTGCTTGTTCTGCCTTGACTCCTGTAACAATGAAAGTATCCACATTCATAGGACTGCTTGTTCTGCCTTGACTCCTGTAACAATGAAAGTATCCACATTCATAGGACTGCTTGTTCTGCCTTGACTCCTGTAACAATGAAAGTATCCACATTCATAGGACTGCTTGTTCTGCCTTGACTCCTGTAACAATGAAAGTATCCACATGCATAGGACTGCTTGTTCTGCCTTGACTCCTGTAACAATGAAAGTATCCACATTCATAGGACTGCTTGTTCTGCCTTGACTCCTGTAACAATGAAAGTATCCACATTCATAGAACTGCTTGTTCTGCCTTGACTCCTGTAACAATGAAAGTATCCACATTCATAGGACTGCTTGTTCTGCCTTGACTCCTGTAACAATGAAAGTATCCACATTCATAGGACTGCTTGTTCTGCCTTGACTCCTGTAACAATGAAAGCATCCACATTCATAGGACTGCTTGTTCTGCCTTGACTCCTGTTACAATGAAAGTATCCACATTCACCAGCACAGACACTACAGCGAGAGCAGTTTCCCAGGCTGATATTTTGGAATGATAATTGTCAGAGTTGGCACAGTCAACATGTAGGGGTGGTTTGTATTGCTTGGTCAGATGAAGAGATTTTTGTGCTGGCTTTTCTATGAAGAATGGGTGGGTTGAAAAGGATTGTGAAAATTGACCTTCTAAAGATTCAGCCCGTGATGCACCATTTAGATATGTGAATCTGGGGTTATGTTGGTGTAACTGGTGATCTGAATTACCAGAAGGGGCAGATACTCTATAAGTGACAGGTGAAATTAGTTGCCCTAATTGGCTTGCCAGTTGTTCTCTGTCTTGCGTTGCCAGGTGCGCAGTCGAGTGTTCTTCCTTTTGGAGAACATTGACAGTTATTGAGTCCTGCCCTGACGCCAGTGAGCAGTTGACCCTGACCTTGGTATAATAATCATAGAAAACATTCGCCAGAGCCTCCAGGATGACAGTCTCCACATTTGACCCACGCACTGAAAAGCAGCAAAATATTGATACCGGTAATAGGATAAAGAAAATCAGAAACAAAATGGCAGTCATTTTATTCTTACATTGTTTGCTGGCAAATAACAATTGAAATAAAATATGAGAACAACTTATATTTCCATATGGTGCGTTACAGCCAGATTTACTTCTCGTGTCAAGAGGGCATTATGGTAGCCTTACACAAAGAGTTTTCCGCTTCCCTCTGTATGACACCAGCACACCAGAATTCTGTGCTGCCGGCTCCAGGCAGAACCTTGCCATCTGTCACAGCAGCTGCAACGCTGGACAAACATTTCCACAGTCTCTCCTCAAGCAGTCGGGCTGATACCATACTTGGGCAGCTGATGACAACAGTCTGCATAAAAATATTGGAGTGCGGAGTGAAATAAAACAGTTTTATAGAAATGCTTTGCAAACACAAAAGAAAGTTTTAGCCAAATTCATAACTCTTCCCCCACTATGATCATGAAAATGTATTAATTTGGACATAAAATGGGTGGCACACTCATTATTTTCTTAGAGAAGGGCCTAGTTCCTTTTAAATGAATTATTATCCAATTGGTCAATGTTAACAAAAGCATTTTTTATAACGTGCCAGTTTGGATATTGCACTATGGATGGTTAACAAAATAGTATAACTTTACAACTTGCCTGAACCATTTGAGTGTTGGTCACCACATGGTAATGTTGAGTCCTGGAAGAGTCATTTTGAATAGGTTCCTTCCATGTGTTACTCACTTTTTGCAGACTAAGTAAACAAACACTAAGCTTAAAGAATACAGAATAATAAATAGAGTTTTTGCATTGCTTATTTGTTAACATTTTAAAAGAAATATAATAAATCTCCTTTGCTTTAAATGGGGTGGTTGCTTGCCGTCTTCAGACTTTGACCACTTATCAGTGCACACCAGCCCCAACCCCTAGGGTCAACAAAGACTGACCATCCCAATCTTTATTGTTTGTTGCTAAAAATCTTGACAAAGATGATTAAAATAAGAAATGTAAACTGAATTTTACTCACCGGAGAGCAGTTTTGTATGTACGTCAGCATATCAACTTGATGCAAGTGAGCAAGGGTCGCTAGCGTTTTGTAGGGCACATTACACAGAACCAGAATTCTGGCATTTGTGCACATGTCCAACAATGTGTCATCTACCCGGCCTTTCACAAGAACAAGTTCCACTTTCAGCTGCAGAAAAATAAAATAGTGATTTAGTAGAAACAAATTTTTTGTTTAAATAGTACAGATTCAATAACTTTTACAGGGTATTTTTAAATATCCGTGCACTGGGGAAATGTAAATATATGTGTTCCTTGGGTAATTGTAAATACATGGGTGCCCTGGGTAAGAAAATGAGCCATTACAGTAAATGAGTCATTACAGTAAATGAGCCATTACAGCAAATGAGCCATTACATTAAATGTACCATTACTGTAAATGAGCCATTACAATAAATGAGCCAATACATAAAACAGAAACATAAGTTCCATTAAATTAATTATTTCATGTGTCTACCTGGAAATTCCCTTTCATTTCAAATTCGATTTGTGTTTATATTTATGTTTCCTTCAGGCTGAGAACTAAGGTTCACACACAACTAACATAAAATGTCTCAGACATTTTATCATTTACCATTTGGATGGCAGACAGTCACGCTGAGAACTAAGGTTCACACACACAACTAACATAAATTGTCTCAGACATTTTATCATTTACCATTTGGATGGCAGACAGTCACACTGAGAACTAAGGTTCACACACAACTAACATAAATTGTCTCAGACATTTTATCATTTACCATTTGGATGGCAGACAGTCACACTGAGAACTAAGGTTCACACACACAACTAACATAAAATGTCTCAGACATTTTATCATTTACCATTTGGATGGCAGACAGTCACACTGAGAACTAAGGTTCACACACACAACTAACATAAAATGTCTCAGACATTTTATCATTTACCATTTGGATGGCAGACAGTCACACTGAGAACTAAGGTTCACACACACAACTAACATAAAATGTCTCAGACATTTTATCATTTACCATTTGGATGGCAGACAGTCACACTGAGAACTAAGGTTCACACACACAACTAACATAAAATGTCTCAGACATTTTATCATTTACCATTTGGATGGCAGACAGTCACACTGAGAACTAAGGTTCACACACACAACTAACATAAAATGTCTCAGACATTTTATCATTTACCATTTGGATGGCAGACAGTCACACTGAGAACTAAGGTTCACACACACAACTAACATAAATTGTCTCAGACATTTTATCATTTACCATTTGGATGGCAGACAGTCACACTGAGAACTAAGGTTCACACACACAACTAACATAAATTGTCTCAGACATTTTATCATTTACCATTTGGATGGCAGACAGTCACACTGAGAACTAAGGTTCACACACACAACTAACATAAATTGTCTCAGACATTTTATCATTTACCATTTGGATGGCAGACAGTCACACTGAGAACTAAGGTTCACACACACAACTAACATAAATTGTCTCAGACATTTTATCATTTACCATTTGGATGGCAGACAGTCACACTGAGAACTAAGGTTCACACACACAACTAACATAAATTGTCTCAGACATTTTATCATTTACCATTTGGATGGCAGACAGTCACACTGAGAACTAAGGTTCACACACACAACTAACATAAATTGTCTCAGACATTTTATCATTTACCATTTGGATGGCAGACAGTCACACTGAGAACTAAGGTTCACACACACAACTAACATAAATTGTCTCAGACATTTTATCATTTACCATTTGGATGGCAGACAGTCACACTGAGAACTAAGGTTCACACACACAACTAACATAAATTGTCTCAGACATTTTATCATTTACCATTTGGATGGCAGACAGTCACACTGAGAACTAAGGTTCACACACACAACTAACATAAATTGTCTCAGACATTTTATCATTTACCATTTGGATGGCAGACAGTCACGCTGAGAACTAAGGTTCACACACACAACTAACATAAATTGTCTCAGACATTTTATCATTTACCATTTGGATGGCAGACAGGACGTTACGGTGCCAAGCTCCGCTTCCATCTAGAGATACTGACTTATCAGATATCCAGCTTGTTTTACTCAGTGTGGGTTGGTATCCTTTGTGATGATAAGATGAGTTGAGATCTGCATTGACCAGCTTAGGTCACATACAGATGCACAAAGTAAACAAAGGATGCAGATATTTCATCATTAAAAGAATGTCTATAACAGAGCCAGGAAGAGAAAGATAGTAAAGATGATACAGAAAGATATTAAAGAAAGACATTACAGATATTAAAGAAAGATATTAAAGAGAGAGATTCAAGTTTTTAAAGATATTAAAGATACTCTGATGAAGAAATAGATTTTAAAATGTAAAAAGGGAAGACAATCCATGGTGCCAATTGTTCAAATTACTAAGTTACTGTTTAATTAGGGTTCTAAATTCTCCTGGAAACTGAATGACATGAACTTACCAAAGTTTTCATAATGTTGCCGATGATAAAATATTCCAGATTGCCACCTTGGCTGGCTATAATTAAACCTTGATGGATAGATGCATTTGTCGCTGAAATTCCCTTACAGGGTGCTAGCTTAAGTGGTACGGCCAGGCAAGAAATTAAATTGAGATTGATGCTGCAATGTATTAAAGGACTGAATCAGTCGAATATTTTATGATCAATAATTATGTTGAAGCATTGTAAATATGTACAAGAAATCCATACATACCTTTATTAAAACATAAATATTCTCAATCATTTTTTTAAACATTTTTCTAACTAGTTGGAAAGTTTGCTATGAAACAAAAATGATTTTGTATTTTCTTTCATTACACTAAATTTACATCTAAAAAACAACTAAAAAAAAAAGTATAAAAATCAGTGAAATGATAAATACCGAGCTTCTCCAGTCTGTTCCATTTGATTTTGACACAAGAGTGAAACTATTTCCATCACTTCAGGGTGGCAGGAATCTAAATACATGCTCTCTTTTGGTAGTCTGAGCTGTGAATTTATTTTACCTGGACACTCTGCTGGCTTAGGTTGTCTGAGCTGTGAATTTATTTTACTTGGACACTCTGAGGGATTTGGATATTTCGTTGTGAAGCCGGGTCGGACAAACTCAAGTACATCACTTGATCTAATATTGGAAGGATTAATAGTCTTTGCCTGCACCAAAAAACCATTTGGCTCAACTAAACCTACCTCACTACAGCCTGGCAAGTCATTTTGTGATAGCGTGTTACTACTACCACCTGGCAGTAACTTTGATTTTCCTTCATTCTGGCTTTTATTTCTGACTGCTATGTTTTTGTCAACCTTGTTTTTATTTGGCTTCATATGCCTACTCATAGCTGGCAATGTTGTTTGAGCTCTGCATACATTGAGAGACCCCAGCATGCCATTAAGAAGTGCAACTGGTGATGGTTTAACAGAAGGAGAAGCCCTTTTGTTCAAGTGGTCTTTTATCACAGGTTTGAGATCCACTGTAGATAGCTGCTTATCTGAAGCATGAGATGAAGGACTGAACCTGGAGTTTGAACTATTTATGGCATCTCTGTTTGTTGGAGAGTCATCCAGTGTTGTATGTGAGACATCCAGTGTTGTATGTGAGTCACCCAGTGTTGTATGTGAGTCATCCAGTGTTGTATGTGAGTCATCATGTGACATGAGAAACCTTTCAGCAGCTTCACTAACCTCCAATATTGTGGATGTTTCTCCGTCTGGTCTTGGTTTTGAACACTCTTTCACAGAAGCACAGTTTTTAGAGTGACTCGCTGCTTCATTCAACACACCTCCCATGGATTGTAATAACAAATCTTGTGATCTGACACTAGATGATCCCTTTATCTGATGAGAAGAAGAGCAAGCAGTGGAGGGGTCCCGTACATGTGAGGGGTCCCATACATGTGAGGGGTCCCGTACATGTGAGGGGTCCTGTACATGTGAGGGGTCCCATACATGTGAGGAGTCCTGTACATGTGAGGGGTCCCATACATGTGAGGGGTCCCATACATGTGAGGGGTCCTGTACATGTGAGGGGTCCCGTGTATGTGAGGGGTCCCATACGAGTGATGTGCCAACTGGACCAGCCTTCATGGTGGAGTTTCTTCTATCTATTTCATTGAAAGCATCCTCAAAGTCTGTGTCTTCTAACTGGCCAACATCTGACGTCAAACATTGGTTACCCCACCCTGTATGCTTCTCTAATGGAAGAGCTTTCTTAATTGATTTTAATTTCAGACTCTCAGGGATGGATCTTGTCCCAATGTTCAGTGTGGATTCTTTTTCTGATCGGGCTGTTTCCATTACTTGGCTGTTATCTCTGCTTTGAGATCTCGCCTGTGACAAATTATCCAAGAACCAATCCACATTATCTAACTCTAACATCTCATCAGTTGTTTTGGCAACCTCCTTCATTTGTAAACACACTGGAGCAACACATTCAGAGGAAAAGATAGTCTCTATTTTATGGTGAAATCCTTCCATCTCCATCATGTTACGTGTGTGTTCTGAACTCACATCTTTACTTACATCTCGCTCCTTACTTTTAGTCCAGGCAGAACTATGAGAACAATGTGAGAACTGAGTTCTTCTTGGTACATTAGGCTGATTTAAAATTGAAGGAGATTCACTAGTTTTTGGCGTGCCCATGGCAGAGAAAGGGATAGCAATTTCATGTAGCATCTCAATCACGTTGGTCAAACTGCCCTGAATGACACCAAGAGAAGTGGCAGTGGAGATGCCCTGAAAGGATTGTAAACAAAGTAATTACAGTGCATGTTTAAGAATGCCCCATTAATTATCAATGAAAAGATTTTATTTTCAAAAGTACTGATTTTACTTGTATTGTAACATCTTGATGCTCGGCCGCCTGAAAGACGGATTTGTGAATGGAGAAGATAACAATAAATCTTAATTTAACTGAGAACAAAATTAAATTTACGTAGAAATCAGAATTTAAATTTGTTTACCGAGAGGTGGTAAAATTATTATAACCCAGTGCAACATAAATCCACCATTGTTACTGAGTATTTTAACTGAACAGGGACTGCACCACATGCTATATTAATAGACAGGATCAAATATGTTTCTTCTATAACCCCTACATTACTCAAAGTAGGCAGAGACCTCTTCATCTGGCCCTCTTCCCCGCTCATCATAAGGCCCAAGAAAAAAAAAGTTTGTTAAAAATGGTGCACTGCGGCTGTTTTTGCACCCTTCTGAAAAAGCCTAAAAAATTTTACAATTTTATTTTAATGTAATATCACAAGATTTGGGACCACTGTGTAAAAGTATAAGACCAAACAAACAGTGTACTTCCCTATATGTAAAAGTATAAGACCAAACAAACAGTGTACTTCCCTATATGTAAAAGTGTAAGACCAAACAAACAGTGTACATCCGTAAATGTAAAAGTGTAAGACCAAACAAACTGTGTACATCCTTATATGGTGAATTCCATGTAAAAGTGGACACAACATCCAAAATTAAATTGCATACAATTTGGTGCTATATAAATTATATAATACATCCTGGTATGGAGCCATTTTTAGTATCGTCATTTTGTGTGCCACATAACCTGGAGGCCACCTTGAATTAAGAACATGTCTGCACATTTTAATATAAATTGTTTTGAATTTTTAAACATCTTCTTTACATCTATAGACAGACATGGTCACATGATCAATGAGCATTAATTTATTTATGTTTATGAAAGTACATAAATGCTGCAGTGAATTATTTGTAATTCCGTAAAAGAACTGACGTTGTTCTATTTTTTTATTGCTTGTAGTCAGACAATTTAAGTCAGTTACAAACATGTGAGGGGTCCCGTACATGTGAGGGGTCCCGTACATGTGAGGAGTCCTGTACATGTGAGGGGGCCCATACATGTGAGGGGTCCTGTACATGTGAGGGGTCCCATACATGTGAGGAGTCCTGTACATGTGAGGGGTCCCATACATGTGAGGAGTCCTGTACATGTGAGGGGTCCTGTACATGCGAGGGGTCCTGTACATGTGAGGGGTCCTGTACATGTGAGGGGTCCTGTACATGTGAGGGGTCCCATACATGTGAGGGGTCCTGTACATGTGAGGGGTCCTGTACATGTGAGGGGTCCTGTACATGTGAGGGGTCCCGTACATGTGAGGGGTCCCGTACATGTGAGGGGTCCCGTACATGTGAGGGGTCCCATACATGTGAGGGGTCCCGTACTTGTGAGGGGTCCCATACTTGTGATGGGTCCTGTACTTGTGAGGGGTCCCGTACATGTGAGGGGTCCCATACATGTGAGGGGTCCTGTACTTGTGAGGGGTCCCGTACTTGTGAGGGGTCCTGTACATGTGAGGGGTCCCATACATGTGAGGAGTCCTGTACATGTTAGGCCATTTACATTATTTGGTCTGTATGCTTACTTAATAGTTTTTAAAGTTTTCTTTAGAAAAGTAAACACTGTAAATAATTAGTTTGAAAAATATATTTCAATTAAAGCCTGTTTCAGAGCAAATCAACAAAAAAGATGCTAACTCAAATATTATGTCTTTTCCCCATTCCATCAGTTAAAATGTATTATTATGTTAAATATATATTTATAAATGCTAGCAGTTTAAAACCCCAAACCATGTAGAGTTCAATTAAGATTAATGGCTTTTTGGTTTGTAAGTTAAATTAAGAACATTTAATGGCTTTTTCCTTTATACACGATGCAATTTGAAATTATTATTCTCAAAGTTATGTCATTTACGATGGAATTCACCACAACTACATCAAACTACATTAAATATTTTATAGCATGCCATGTGGTTCCTTTTTGTGTTCACTGTAATATAGTTCTGCTGACTCACCAAATGTTGAAGTTGAAGCATGACCTTTGCAAGGCCAGTCAACATGAACAACAAAGTTTTGGTGCCTCTTGTGTGCTGCTGTTTATGTGACGTCAACACTTGAAGAATAAGTTCACCACAGGGGTGCTGAACAAATAAAGGCAAACAATCAGATTGCATTCAACTAAAACTAAATTAACTTAATTTATATAGATTCTAGTTTGTTGGAACATTGATTACAAACTGTCCCAGTGGCTCAATATAACATTGCCCTCAGATCTAATTAATTTTTTTGGGTGGAATGACCTGCTTTCAAACACCAAAACCCTTTCTGTCCATAGTGGGTACAGTTTATCATCTCTGGTCCAGCCAGTGGTTTTTGCCTGATTCATTTTTGATCCAAAAATTATAAAAGTGTTGGACTGCAATAAAGCTTTAAAGTATATTAATTAGACACAAACAATTTGTGTAAATAAAACAATATATGTTCAGCTTTAATGATGATTTTACAAAATACAAATGTAAACGTTTCGGCAAATGCCTTTATCAGTACAAAAAAACACCATTTAAATAAGTATAAATTAAATGTATAAATTAAATGTACATAATATATTATATATACATGTATCCTACCTAAAAATAGAAAAGAATAAGAGTGGGCGCTAAACCCAGACAACAACAAAGTTAAGAAGAACGGAAATGTGCTGGGTGGACGAGAGGCCCCACCACCAACGCCAACATCCCAAGCACCCCGGGGGGGATGGGACTCATTTGCCTTGGAAGGCAACTCATCTAAGAGAAGGCAAACTCTGAATTCAAACCAGGAGCCAAAATTATCAATAAATTGATCGTGGGCCCTCAAATAAAAAAAATAAAAAACAATAAAGAAAGGAAATAAGTGGAAGTAAAATTTAGAAACGAAACAGGAAAAAGACATGGCAGCTACATAAAATTGTGGATTTGTTTAATACCATATAGAGTCAACATCGCAAATATGGTTAGTGATTTATTTTCCATATAAATCCTATCCGGTGTATTACTTGTATATAATACACCAGTAACTGCAATGTTTAAAATTCCTTTAGGGTTATTACTCTTGAAATGTTTGGAAGCTGGCTAAAAGGGCGTGTTTATTTATTTGTATTTTGTAAAAAACATTAAAGCTGAACATATATTGGTTTATTTACACAAATTGCTTGATCCAACAAGTTTTCTGGATTCATTTTTTTTCACCTTTTTGTAAAATTTTCTTGCAATGCAGTTTTATTGACTGACAATCAAAGACAGTTGCTATCATCAAGTGATGTGAGATCGGTGTAGGAATCATGTCCAATAAATGTTAAGATTAGATACAGTATTGTTAATAACCAATTCAGCTCTGTAACATACAGGGAGGAGAAGAAAAACAGGCAAGATTGTTTAATTAATTTTTTTAAAGGGGTCAATAGGTATGAGGCTCAGCACTCTATCACAGCAAGTTGTGTAGAGTTACTCCTGGATAGTTTTAAAACATGGCATACTTTAAGTAGTTATTCAAAAAATGTATTATGTTATGGAAAATATGTCTATCTTGATTTGGACATGTTTTTAATTGTGAGAATAGCATACCTCAATGTCCAGGTTTGACAGCAGTGTCTCTATGTCTGTTGTAAACACATCATCACCATCATAACTGATGCACTTCACACTGAGAATACATTAATACAGAAGTGTGAGGATAAATTATTTGGTCAATTATGAAATGGATATGATGAAGTTCTCGGGATTGACAACAAAGTTTTTTTTTAAATTAAATTTAACAAGATCGCATCGCAATGTCTGTTTTATTGAAATTCTATTTGTATACAAAAAATTGTTTAAGGAAATCAGATTACTTATTTAATACAAGAAAAATTTATGAATTTCTAATGTTTCCTCGCTGCATATAAATGCTATTCCCATTATTAATAATTTTTAAAAGCATTAGCTGGTTTGAAAGAAATACAGAGGTACAAATATATTGTTATATCATGTAATAAATGACTATTTACTGCAAAACTATCATTACATTTAAAAATATTGCACAGTTTTTTTCTTTGTATGTGCAAAATTAGATGCAGCATTGGTAGAAAGTAATGTTGAATGACCTTGCACTGATGGATGAATGTTAGATGCAGCATTGGTAGAAAGTAATGTTGAATGACCTTGGACTGGCGGATGAATGTTAGATGCAGCATTGGTCGAAAGTAATGAAGAATGACCTTGCACTGATGGATGAATGTTAGATGCACCATTGGTAGAAAGTAATGCTGAATGACCTTGCACTGATGGATGAATGGATAGAAAGAGCTCAATTCCTAACAGCTGTCAGAGGGTTGATACAGAGAAGTTAAGTGTTTGTTACTCTCACTTTTACATACCAGTCATGTGACGCCAGCATTGGATGAACCAAATCATCTAGAGTAAGAATATAGATTTAAATTTGTAAATTTGTTAATTAGAATTTCTTATAAAATTATTTCCTTTACAGATTTGTTTGAAAACATTGTTATTTTAACAAGTTTTTTTTGTTGCATTTCTATAAACCTGATAAAAAATACTAAGTTATAGTAATTTAAATTTAAAATGTGTAGATCATAAAAAAAATCAAGACAGATATCTTGAAAAATAATCTTGTAAAGTAATTATAATTATATTTTCTTCGAGCCCATTACTGTGCATGTGTACAAAATCTAATAATGGCTCAAAGTGAAGCAGAACAACCTCATATACCCAACCATTTATCCTAGCATAAGATTACTGAAAGGATTCCTGGCTGGTAACTAAGCATGTGTGTAACTTTTTATGGGGTTTAGGTCATATATATATATATATATATATATATATATATATATATATATATATATATATATATATATATATATATATATATATATATATATATATATATATTTATATTATAAAATAAATGAGAAAAAAAAAATAAATATGTGTGTATGTATTTATGTTGTTTATATCATATATATATATATATATATATATATATATATATATATATATATATATATATATCTATATATATCTATATATATATCTATATATATATATATATATGTTGGCATTATAAAGAATGTGCAAGTAAAAACATAAGAATGTTTAAAGTAATATTAGAATATACTTTGGAATTTCTATTATATTTTCAAACATAATTTGTAAACTCCATGGAAGCACATTTCATCATGGGCCCACTTCTCATTGGAGAGAGATGACGACCTGATAGGTCTTTGGCGAGGGGCGTCTATAGCCCTGAGTGGTGAAATATGAGTATTAGCAAAACAATAATTTAAAGTTAAAATTTTTTAGAATATTTTTGACTATTCCATAAGGATAAAAAACAATTAAGTTAATAACTTACAAATTCTTCAAATTTAAAAAAAATCAAATTATCATATCCAGTGATTGTTCAAAATATACAATTTTGTAGGCCTATTAATATAATTATTTTTCAGTTTTAACTTTAAAAATTCGATAGTGATGCTGTAGCGCTGTGCCATTAAAAATGTGTTAAGCTCAAACTTTATGTTTGGAGTTCAAGCCCAGCATAACCCAGACAAGCTAAAAAACTCAATATCAGAAATCAAACCCAGAGATTAAGGAACCAGCTTTTTCATTCACCCAACAAAAAACCTGGGTGTTGTGTTTGCACAAAAAAAAAGTACTGAGTATTTGTATAGCCTACCATTATTTTTCTGCTATCCTATATTAAGTTTGTTACCTTAAGAAATCAAAGCCGCCATTCCAGAAAAAGTGGTGGTTGGTGTGTGTAATATTATTTCTCACTTAACTCAGTTTGGAAGCAGCCACTTCACAACCCCCCCTCCCCCCGCCCTTGCCCCCCAGATGCCCCTGTTTTTTGCCAAGCAGCTTTTCAGAACTGGTGATCAAACCATTTCATCAGTTTTGCATATTTCTTTAAGGGTTGCTTCTTGTGATAAGAGGTTCGATAAATTCAAACAATAATAAATGACTAAAGGTAAGCTTTGACTCAAGAAAGACTCTACAATATGTCAATGCTTAAGCATTGTCAGCAAAACTGCAATTCACATAAAAACTTGCAAATCACTTGAATATTAATAGTGTAAAAAAGGATTTGTGAAAAGTCAGGCTCTTATTTTGTCATTTGTGTCAAAGAATCTATCATTGTGTGATTACAATAAAGGTCAACCAGTGACACCAGGCATATCTATAGGGTTGTAGAATATTAATTTAAATAAAGAAAAAAATATCATAACCAAATTTGTTAATGACGGTCTTTTCAATTTTTCTAAAAAATAATAATTTGAATAACATCCCCTCTGATTTCTGCCTTGTTGAGAGTATGCAAAAAACCCAGTAATATGTTGTAAAAATCTTCTTATACTTTATGTAATCTACCAAAGAACATTAGTCTATTGTGCCCTTCAAGCTGAGGCTTGGCAAAAATTTCAAGCTCCAAACCTTGATTAAGATTATAATTATTTATATTACATTAATAAATTTAATATTACCAATTTTATATTAAATTAATATTATTTTAAACATTGGCAAAAAATGTTAGGCTTTTTTATGTATTCATATTCATTGAATGGAATCATTATTTATTCCCTAATTATTTTTCAAATTAATTGATTGATTGTCATCACTCACTGATATTTGAAATAATTGATGACGATTAACAATAATCAATGTTACAATGTGAATAATATTTATTGTAAGGAACTGAATAGTATATATACATGGAAAAGTAAGTAAGAAGGCTTTAGAAGGTATCGATCAGGGACAAATGGGAAAAAACAGGATAAAAGCCATAATTCTGGAAAGCCGCCTGGACAGGGGCCTAAAAAGAGGACATGACAAGGGAAACCTGGACGCATGGTAACCTTACTCTTTAGTTAGTACCAGACCCCCTAAATCAACAGAGCATTTTACCACCCCCTGGTACCACCCACTTTGAGAACCACTGGATTAGACCATTAATTATGAATTGTTATAATTAGTAAATTACATTGTCATTGATGAATATGAATTGAATTGGATATAATAACATGAGCATGAGTTGGATTTGGATAGTCCAGTTCGAAGAGTTGAAGTGATTTCTGATTAGAAGTTTCTTTCAATCAATCCTTGGACTTGGAGATTCTCAGTATTTTTAATGTTAGTCAAAGTATATTTTATACCATACGTTTTAAAAATTGTCTAATTAAACTTACATAATACATTACAAAATCCTTCCTTTTCTAATTGAAAGTTTATCTTCGCCATACCATCTTAGATTTAAAACGGCATGAAATTGACGACTAAAACCGTAACCTGGTAACCCCGAGAGCATACACTTTTACACCAAGATATAGAATGAAAATAAAAATACATCCCAGATAAGTTATTTGAGAGAAATTAAAAGTAATTAAGCAATCGAAATCGTTGAAAAATGTTACGAGCAATTTAAATCGAAATGGTGTCATAACTAAAAAAGACAGCTAAAAAGTTTTCAAACCATTTTAAAAAAGAGAATAAAAATTTACATTTACTGTCCAATTAATTCCTATTCTAAAATGCATTACACTGTTAAACTACGGTACATGAACAGTTTAATGTGTTAGATCAGTCTGCTTAATGTGTCCCAGACACAAAAAATAGCTGAAAGCCAAAGGCACAAAGGAGTTACAGTAACTACCATACTAATGTTTTCATTTCTTTTTTTCTTTTTTTTTCATTCATTCATTCATTTTAAAAAAAATCATAAATTTAAAACTTTCATTTCCGACTGAAATTAACTTATATTATAGTCATAACGTATATTCTTACACTTATCTATCATTTGGGATTTTATTATTTTATTAAGTTGATTTTTAAAGAAATATATTTTGAGTTTGGGCAAATAGTTAGAAGTTAGGGATATTTTGATTTCGAACTAAATGTATGTGTAATGACCTGTTTCAGTGGCCGAAACGTACTTTTTAAAGGGGAGAAAAATATACATCTCGGAAATATCTCGATCATTTCGGCAAAATTGCTATTCCAATCGTAACCGTTTATGATTTTCGCCTCTGTTTGGCTATCCATCGTATTAACGCAGGAAAGGGGGATTATTCTTGAACACTTTCATTGAACAAAATCTACATAAGAGAAAAATGAAGATTTTGGTTAGTTGTTAATATTATCAACATATAATATATGGTACTTATATAATATATATGCATAGTCGTAGTAATAAGTAACAGTACGGTACTAGTACGTAATACTCAACTCTATTAATGACCTAATAAACTAATTTTTAAGAATAAGCCTACTCGAGGCTACTCGCTACTCATAATAATTATTTCTGAATGAAGTGAATGAATTGGTAGTGTTTGAGTTTGTGTTGTTAACTAGTGTTATAAGACGACTAACTAACGCACATATTCTGGTGAAGGTCTGAGATTACTCTCTTATGACCCCGGCTAGTAAATTGGCTATCAACTCCATCTGTTGAGCTGAGCCATACAACATGTCCCTCACAAAGGATCCTCCAACCGCCCTGGCTTCCCCTGGGAGATCTAGTGCGGGACACTCCGTCAACAGATGTTCTAAGGTCTCCGGGGCCAGGCTGCAGTGCCGGCAGGTAGGATCTCTGTTGTTGTCCAACCTCCAGAAATATGTGCGCAGGGGGCAGTGCTCGGTGCGCATCTGCGTTACTAAACTCTGCACTCTACGACCTAACCCCCACCATGGGTCTTGTTTGCTAGGAGTAGGCAAGTTCGAATAGACGCCTCTGGCGGTCGTGTTGTCAGCCCATTGCCTGTACCACTTCTGCCTGAAGTGGTCCGCCAGCCAGTTTTTGACTCCCAAGAAAGTCATTGGTACTTCTGGCTGAGGCTGGGCAGCCCCGGTTTTCGCCAGAGTGTCAGCTATCTCATTGCCACTGATGTTGACGTGCCCTGGTATCCATTGCATTTCAACCTTGCACCCTATTTCATCAAGTCTGCATATGTCGTTGTGAATGACGTCGACCAAGCTTGTGGTACCCTGTCTCTTCTCCAAGATCTCAAGAGCGGATCTTGAGTCTGAGAAGACGACAATATCGAGCCCCGCATGCTCCGTCCCTTCCAGAGTGACACGGACTCTCTCCAAGGCCTTGTGCATAGCTATAAGCTCCGCGTCGAAGTTTGACGCTGTAGTCCCACAAGGCCCGGAGAGTTTTTCATCGGGCGGTCCACCTACTGGGTACTGAATAAGCGCACCGTACCCAGCAGTTTTTTTCCTAAAGTCAGCAGAGCCGTCCGTGAACACTTTCACAGGTATGTGCGTGAACACATCCATGGTCTCAAGGGCAGCCACTCTCTGTACATGTTCAGGGCTTCGTTTCGTCACTGCTGCATCTGTCAAGGCCAAATGTATGGAGGGGCGTGAGGGTTCCGCATAAGGCGGATTAACTGGGATTTGGGTCAGGCGTTCTCTATTTGGGGGCAGGGGGACTGTCCTCTCCAGCTCCACGACCTGGTGCATGAAAGAGGACCTCTTTAGTCTCCTGCCACCCACCCAGTTATTTTGCATTTGAAAGGCTGGTTCATTTTCACCGAGCCGTCGGTACCTCTCTACGGTATTTAAGATGGATTTTTCCCTTCTAATTTGTAGTGGTTCTACATTGGCCAAGACTTCTACAGCAGCTGTGGGAGTAGTCCTGTATGCGCCACAGATGAATCTCAGTGCCTGATTCTGGATTCGGCCCAGTTTTTCCAATGCGGTCTTGCTTGCAAAGGATTGGACCGGCATACTGTAGTCCATCACCGACCTTACACTGCTTAGAAAGAGAGCTCTAAGCGTACTTGCGTTCGCGCCCCAACTTGTGCAAGCCAATTTTTTCACCAGGTTAAGCTTGGCGGTCGCCTGGGAGCAGAGGTCCTGTACAAAATTGTGCATTTGTACCTTTTGGTCCAGCTTAACTCCCAAGTAGACCGGTTGTTTGTCCCACTTTAGTGCTACATCGCCCACCTTGAGCTCGATCTCCTGTTTGAGAATGGTCCGCCCATTTGTGAAGAGTGAGTAGACCGTCTTCTCGGTGTTAATTTCCTGATGCCACCGCCGCAAGCAACGACTACTATAAAGGCGGCAATGTCTTCCGAGTCCAAGGTATTATATGTCTAATTTAATTATGATATAAGTTTTTTCTATTGTTTATTTTCTTGAAAGGTGGGGGGAGAGACTTGAGAGACTCTAAGGAGGTCTGCCCCCCTCCCCTCCACCTGAAAATAATAATGTTGAAAAGTCCAGTGAAATTGCGAGATTATAGAAATGAATAGCATGGGTATGCCATATGGCATATGGGTAATTCTTATTTATTCTTTCAACCAATCAAAATGCAGCATCATCAATGTTAGAGTCTTTTACTTTTGCTCTTGGTCTTGGGGTATTGGCAAGGATAATTTTATTTTTTAAAATTTCATTTGAACCTTGTAAAGTGAATTTTTATAAAAATGAAGGGAAATTTTCATTTTGATAAATATATTTCCTATTAACATTATCGGGTATGAGAATTAATTTATGATGTGAATAATGGCTAACGCTCAGTGAAAAATTGGAAAGTATCATACAAACTGTTCATGTCCAACTATTGGTCTTTTTACACTAAGTCCAGTGTTGGGATACCCCAAAGTAACATCAGTGCACTTAAGTGAGGCAACTCTGCCAAAACCCATACCTCTAACTAAATCTTTTACATGTGACGTCAGTTTTTGATCGCCCATTAGCTGATAATAATAACTTGCTAATTAAATAAGAACATTTGGCTTAATTAATAATATGCACTGATTTAGTCCAATGTTAAAAGATAAATCATTTAATTTTAATTGAAAACATATTTTATTCAATTAAGTTAACAAGACCTTTTTTAGTCTGACACTGACAGACTAAGAACTCATACTTCCATTTAAATCCTTACAATTGAAACTTATCTTTAATTTTAAAAGAACTTTGATCCCCTGTGCACTTCCAAACTTAATTAATGAAAATATAATTCTCAAGAATTCAGGTACGCTAAAAAAAAAGGTTTCAAACCTTCATTACTTTTTTCGACCCACCATATTTTGTTCCTAATTGGTTGTGGATATCTTAAATGTGTCATTATTAACCTTTCAAAACTGATATTTATGCACTTACAAATATAAATGTTGGGGGTGAAATTTGAGTTCACTATCTTTTTTTCAGAATTTAGTTTAACTGTTTTGTTCAATATGTTATTTTTAATTTGGTTGCTTTTCAGAATTTAGTTTAACTGTTTTGTTCAATATGTTATTTTTAATTTGGTTGCTTTTCCAGAAGGCGACCCTTGTAGTGAAGTCATTAGGAAGTATTTCAAACGTTTATGTCTATCATATACCTTTTTTTTTTCCATTCTGTTTAGGAAAGGAGTTGATATAAAGAAACAAAAGCATGGCACAAGTCATTTAAAATGTTTTTTTTTGTAATGACATATAAGTAATTAGTGTGGTTTCTAACAGTTCTATGTAAGAATGCCATCAGTAGTTAATGGATTTGGAAAAGTAAGTGTTATTACACTGGCTATTGGCATTTTTATAGGTATTTCTGTATCAAACATATTTCGTTTTACAACATCACCAAGAAATTCACTATCGGGATACATTCCTGTGGATCCTCACAGTCATGGGGAGAACGATGATGTCAGTGGACCAGATAATTCTCTCAGTTGGCATGATGAACATTCTCACAGCCATGCCAGTAAGACATTTTTTTTCAAATAATTTTCAGACTTAGTTAAAGTATGTTTCATTGAATTTTATCCTAAAAATTTCCCCTATTATTCTGCTTTCAGAAGCTGCTTTTTACTCTAAAATAAACTACTTTAATCTGCAATTCCATGTCAGAAAAAAATTAGTATAATTTTTAACTTCATTTTCCTCTAAACTTAAACAGCAAAGATTATGTTGTGTTATAGTATTAGCTTAAATAATGATGATTTCATTAATTTAAATAATTTTATAAGTACTCTATTTGTTGTACTCATTCTTAATCATTTTAATGATAATTGAGAATGCATTTACGTGTATTTTTCATTACTGAACTCGAAATACTTGAATATACATATTGCATTATAAATAGGCATTCAGAGAATAAATAATTCAGTTAGATTTATTCTGCATGAATGTGCATCCATCTGACAAATCACATAAGAGCCAGTCTAATATAGTATGTTATGAGTTAACTTTATCAAATTTAATGGACATTAACCAGCCTCTGATTTTGTTACATAGATGAGAACAATTCTGTTGCCCGATACCTGTATAAAAAGGTGCGAGTACTGTGTTGGGTCATGACGAACCCTAACAACATTCAGACAAAAGCAAGACACGTGAAAGCTACTTGGGGGAAAAGGTGCAATATTCTGCTCTTCATGAGTTCTAAATCAGACTGGGAGTTGCCAGCTGTTGCACTAAATGTTGCGGTAAGAAGTTAAACATTTTATAGTAATAAGCAATGGTCCCTCTTATTTATCTGAGGCTGTGTGTGCAATATATCTTTTGAAAAGCCACAATAATAATACAATTTTAAAAATGCATCAATGTTGTAAATTGTATCTGCGTGTGCAGGAGTTACAGATTGAGCACAGCTGAGAGAGAATATTGATCCCTTCCAACTTCGTTATTTATTTATTGACACTGTTATAAGGTGTTGCAAATTTACTCTGATTTAAGATTTGACATGTTAGATGAACAAAATGTAAAAAGGGGCTGAAAATCAGCATAGAAAGAAAAACGATACCAAAGCTAGTCATTTTAAAAGTAATCCATTTTAAGTTGATATCAAAATGCAAAAGCAAATATACAGACGTGAAAAAATATAATACTAGAAAGGTAAAATATTAATACCCATACAAACAGTGAAAAATTCGTGTAAGTCTGCCTGTCACAGTTGACCGTCATATTTATAGTCTGGGAGTCAGAACGCAACAGAATAGAAAGTCTCTAAATTCAGTCATAAGGGAGTATTTTCTACCTCTATGTGGACCTTCTGGAAATTGTAAACAAACTTTCTCAATCAACTGCCATGGGGGAAAAGAGAGGCAGCACGTATCACAGAGTTAATTGGTGATGTCATTAACAAAAATAAAGTGGGAGGTAAGGGATGCATGCCACCGCTCGACACTATTCAGGTTAAACAAAACCATGTCAACACAAAGGCTATAACAAACACTATACACAATGTACTTGCATTTGGTTCTTCATTAAACTTCATTATTTAAACCCATGTTCTGGTTCTTCTAAGTTACTAAGGTTCATGATTGAATGATATTAAAAAAAATTCTGGAATATTTAGAGATTCTATCGATATTGTTTGTTGCTTAGATATGTTATTTTCTTATTGAAATTAATTTTGTTCACGTTTTTATGGCTAGCAATTTTCATGAAATATGTTAATTATATTCTTTTTTTATTCTCTGCTTTGCAGAATTAAACACTTTGTACTGAAAATTTATTGTCTTAAATAACAAAACCAAATTTTTTCAGGAAGGTCGAGATCACCTGTGGGCTAAAACCAAAGCAGCATTTAAATATATTTATTCCCAACACTTAAATGACGCTGACTGGTTTGTGAAGTCGGATGATGATACATACATTGTTGTTGAGAATCTACGGTATTTCCTCCAGAATAAATTACCCTCAGAACCCGTCTTCTACGGGCGAAGGTTTAAGCCTATGGTCAAGCAGGGCTACATGAGTGGTGGTGCAGGGTATGTTCTCAGCAAGGAAGCCCTTTCAAGAGTAGTAACACAAGGGCTGGACAATCCTGAGAAGTGTCGAAGTGACAATGGAGGAGCTGAAGATCTAGAAATGGGCAAGTGTCTTGAAAATGTTGGCGTCTTGGCAGGAGACACGAGAGATGAACTTGGCAGAGAGAGGTTCCATCCCTTTATACCTGAGCATCATCTCATCCCTGATATACTACCAAAAGAAATGTGGTATTGGTCCTATAATTTTTACCCAGCAAAGCAGGTAAGAAATATATTCCATGTTTGACAATTATATATTATAGGGTGTAGCTGTCCCTACCGCTATGACACAGGGCAGATGTGTTCCTAATTTGCATTATGATCTAGTTTCAGAATTTTCAGAACCTTTAGATCTTACTTTTTTCTAGTAGAATTTAATAACTTCCTTTAAATTTGTTAGAAATTCTAATGTATTATTAAACTTTGCCATTGATCCAATATTTGATTGAATTTGAAGAGTGAATTTTAAAAAGGGTCAGACCTCCCACCCACAAAAGTCTAACTTTAGTGACAAGATACTTCAGAAAAGAATTTTGTTTTCAAGTAAGCAGTGACTAAGTTAACTTTTGATTGATTTCAGGGTCAAGAATGTTGCAGTGACTATTCCATCACATTTCATTACATCACCCCTAATATGATGTATGTGCTAGAGTATCTCATATACCACCTGAAACCGTATGGGATAAACACAGTAATCCATCAGGAGCTGTCGAGTCCTGCAGCAAACTTAGATAAACCTAACAGTGAAAACAATAATCCAGTTCTCGTTCAACAACAAGATGACAGCATTGTTAATGACATCATAAAAAAGTCGGATGATAGGGAATTAAATACATATAGCTTAGAAAAAGTCAAAGAACAAAGTGAGAATGACTTGGAAAATATGGTAGACAATGGTGAAGGATGAAGCCAAATCAAATAAGGTGAGGCACATCTATGTACTCATGTTCTCCGGGTGCCCACATCTATGTACTCGGGGTGCCCACATCTATGTACTCATGTACTCGGGGTGCCCACATCTATGTACTCATGTACTCGGGGTGCCCACATCTATGTACTCATGTTCTCGGGTGTCCTCCTCAACTGCCCTTTGTCACCAGTAAATGTCTGGTAATCAAGCCAAGTTTTAAAAATCTAGTATTTGGCTATGTACAGTTTGAAGTGTTAACTCCCAAATTTTTGCTTAAGGGTTTCAATAATTTTATGCGGATTTAAAGCTGTTAATAATATTATAATTATACTAAAAACTGAATGAGCATGCTTTACTATTAATTTCACATGTAGCTAATCAAAATGATACACAGACTAAGTTTGAATTGTACTTTTAACAATGAATGTTGTTAAGTTTTAAAATATGCACTAGGCTTTAATCTGCTTATATAATTCACACTGTATGTCTGAAACTAATTGTAAGAAAGACCACCGTTGTAACATGTTTTGCATTTAGTGAAAATGCAGTTGAGCACCCTTTAAAATTATTGACAGTCTAATGCAATGTTTCGCTCAATACAGCACAGAATACAAATGTCAACAAGAATGAATCAGCTGAAGAGATTCATGTGCCACATGCAGCAGATAATCAAAACAAGCTCACGAAATTGTGGAGCATGCAAAAGTACATTAAGCATTTTCATGTCACAAATACTTGCCATGTGCAGCAGATAATCAAAACAAGCTCACGAAATTGTGGAGAATGCAAAAGTACATTACCGTAAGCATTTTTATGTCACAAATACTTCTGAATATAAGATTCAAGATGTAGGCCTAGAAAGCGGTCTGCTTTATGCGTTAAGCCCATCTATCTGCTAAGTGGTGGCAGTTTTAAGTCCTTTCAATGGATGTTATTTGTTTTAAAAACAATGTTGACATTTGTTTTAATTCTACTAATTATTTGATAATGCATGAATATACTCCCCTGAACATGTCTTAAGTCAATGCTAAAGTAACAACATGAACATTTTTGCACCTCACCAAAAACATTTACATGAAAAATCATTCAATCTAAAGACATTATCTTTGAGGACAGTAAATCTGTATTTAACCTCAAATCTCAGGTCATTTGTGAAAATTAAGTAAATAAGCGCATTTTTATCCAAAAAGTTTGTGAAAATGAATGTCTTTTTTTTTTAGGAGTCATAGGTAGATACCTTTGTCTCTTAGTGTGTTGATAATTGTGAACTTTTATGTATTGCTGAAATGTACAATATTCAATAATAAAAACATTTTGTCATTTTCTACAGGTAAAATATGTCATAATTCCCTGAATAAGTAATGTATGCCAGAAATATTACAAATTAAAAGGAAATAGCTAATTCTAGGGTAACAATTTATATTAATTTTTTTTTTAATGAAAGTTTCTCTTTACTTTTGACACAGTCCTATTGTAAAAAATTTCTTTTCTTAGAAATGTACAAAGAACCAATTAAAATATAATAATGTAATATTTTCAAGAAAGATGTACTTATAATTAAAGGTATAATGTAATTTTTAATTATGATAGTGTTTAGCAAAAAATGAGGTTGCATTCGTTTAATTAAAATTTCTCAAAACTCTTTGCGAATGTCCTTCATTTTGCATGATTTAAAAAATATACCAAATGTCATTTTGATTGAAACTCTTTCATAATTATTAAAGATATGTTCCCTGGTGTATTTTTCAGTTAATAAGTCAATCAAAATTTATTTTTAATTGTGTTCATCCCTTGATTGCCCTAACCCAGAGTTCTAAATCCGTGCTCCTTGGAACACTGGTGCTCAGCGAAGCCACTTCAAGTGTTTGGCAGAAAAATCAATTGCCCAGTACACAATTAAAAATTGTTGCAAAAGAAAAATCAGCCCAATGTAAAGTCATTTTTGTAGGTTACTGTAATCAGCAAAGGCAAATGACAGTGGAACTTTTTTGTAAATTTGTGCATCGGTGTGCCTGTGCAGTTCACATTTGAATTCTGAGCGGCCAGAGTTTTTATATTTAGCTGATTTCCAGTAATTATATCGATTCGATTTTTGGAATTAAATAAATTTACATGGATATAACGTCCACTGACTGGGTAAAGATGCATGGTTCAAGATTCTACCAAAGTTTTGTCTTGAAATACAGTTTGTTTGACTCATCTCTGTGTTGTATGCGGTAAGAAACTTGCCAATGCCGCTACATTAAAACATCATTTTTCAACTTCACATAAAAATCTTTTATAAAAAAATAAAGAAAACTTCAAAAGACAAAAGAAAATGCAAGGTAACCAAAGAAGACAAGTTTAAAAAACAATGAAAGTAAGTGATAAAGCCACACACGACAGCAGAAACTCTCATGTTGCCTGCCTGCTGGGAAATAGTGACAATTATGTTCGGGGAAGAAGCAAAGAATGACATTTTCAAGATTCCAGGATCTGATGACAGGATTCACAGTAGAATTAATGACAGTGTCATGTCCTGCAACATTGAAAGAAGAGTCTCAGATAAACTTGTTAACATGCCCTCTTAATTACAAGTAGACGAATCAACTGATCCAAGTGGCAGGGCACAGCACTTAGTACCTTTTATTTATGAACAGAAGAAGATAAATCAATTTTTATGCTGCAAATAACTTTTAGGGCGTTAACTGGCCAGGACTTATTTGACATGATAACGCTGTATTTGAATGTTAAAATTATCATGGGACAATGTGTCAGTATTAATACCAGCGAAGCAGCATCTTTGATGGGATCAGTCAAAGTATTTGTGACTTTAGGAAAAAAAACAATAATTCCAAATAAAATATTTCATCATTGTTTCTTGCACAGGGAAGGTAGTTTGTAAGTACATGTGTTTGCATCAATCAGTATCAGTATTTTGATATTTTATTTTGATAAAAATAAAAGTAAAACTTTTAAGCATGGGTGTCCAACACGAAACCGATTTTTTTTTTTGGGGCTTACAATAAACATAGGCAGAGGTGGCCAAATTTTTTTTAAAAATCAAGAGCTCAAAATGTTTAAGAAAGGAACATAATACTGTAAGCGCTCTGTAAAAAACAACCAAGTTTAGTGTTTGCCGGCGCCAAAAAGATTGAGAACCACTGTCCTAACCCATGATGACCAGATTCTTATTTTAAAGATTGATACCTAATTTTTTAAAAGTAAATTTCTTCGCTTGTGATACTTTAATATGTGTGCATATTTGCCTTAATTAACCTCTGAATAGGTCCTTTAAGAACTGAGACAAAATATTTATCTCTCATTTGCCCAGATTAGTGAATGTTTGTAAATAATTTTGAATCTACATTAAAAAGGTACATAGCATTTATTATTGTATAAATTATAAAGCAATTACTGCTTTCTCTCTCTCAAACACCACCACCTCCCCTTTTTTTTTTAACCACATTGTTATTTTTTACTTTTTGATGAAATATTTCATCTGTATTAGTATTAATAAGTATTATGATTTCTTCAATTAAAATGGGAAATTGTGTTCAAGTTCTGCCTGAGGTTGAAACAGAAACTTCTTTGTGTATTTATGTGATGATCTTGAATGTACTTTGACTTTAAAAATGACTTTCTTTCAGGGCTAACTCTTCTTTAGATGAGTCTCATTTATGAATGTGTAACATTCGCCTATTCTGCAACTAAGCAATAATGTCAGGTCTCATACCAATATGCTACTACCTGGGGACTTGAGAGTTTCACTATGGATAAAGTCAATCCTGCTCGCTGTTATGTTAATGGAAAGTCTTGAGAGTTTCACTATGGATAAAGTTAATCCTGCTTGCTATTATGTTAATGGAATGTCTTGTGGCTAAGAAGTCCAATTTTGCTACAATTCATAGTTAGCTGTAAGACCATCCAGCCATTGGTTTTATTTATTGGATCTGTCGGGTTAGCCACAAAGGTCAAATATATTTGAGGACGTACTTGTCTTGACTGAGCTAATAGAACTGACATAATAAAACCATTTTTATATTTAAATTTGTGATTGTAACTATGCATGATTGACTTGCCAGGATCAAATGTAAATGACTTCTATATTTTATATCTGTTTTAAAAATTAAATACTTAAGGTTAAATAAACCACTGTTGTATATCTTAATTTTTGTACCTTGCCTTGCTTCCAGTTTGCAAAATCAGATCAATGAGTTTTTGTGTTGTAAACAATGGCTCAAAACAATTTGTAAGTCTACTGATTGAGATTCGTATTGATATTACAAAAGGTCAAGAAATATTTAAAACTTTCTATCTATTTTACAGCCTTTACAGCCTAATTTCAAGCACATTTATTAACCACCCACTTGTTAGGCCTACAGACCACAGTTGCGTGGGTGGTATATCAATTAGAATATTTCTGTTATTATTAATGAAACACTGCAATAAATGCATATAAGAGAATATTTGGTTAATCCAATTAGAAGTATATTATAATAAGCTGCGTACAAACTATAAGATCACCAATCGATTCCTTCAATTACAAGTCTATTATAATAAGCTGCGTACAAATTATAAGATCACCAATTGATTCCTTCAATTAGAAGTCTATTATAATAAGCTGCGTACAAATTATAAGATTACCAATCGATTCCTTCAATTAGAAGTCTATTATAATAAGCTGCGTACAAATTATAAGATTACCAATCGATTCCAAGTGACCCCATAAAATTAGTTAAGAAATCAAATAACGACAACAGAAAAATGTTTGCAATAAATATTTTTTACTTAAGAACAAAAAAGAAATAAATGAAGTGTTTGTAAATGTTAACAAAACAACAGTAAATAAATTTGTTAAGATGTCATAACGATAATATTATGTCATATGCAAGGAGTATTTTTTTTGAAAAAGAGGTTTTAAATGGACATCGGTGACTGGTTCCTGTAACAATACAGTTACACATTTATATTCTACTGATGTTCTTTATTTGCTGTTTCTAGATTTCTTACAAGTATCCATCATACCATAACAAGGGAAGATGATGAAGTCAATAGAAATAGAAACAAAATAATTAAAAATATACCGACCACCACCATTACCTCATTAAAATAAACATTTAAATTGAAACTTTAAGAATCGTCAAAAATGATATTTACAGATCCAACCAGAAAATTTTTTAATTAAGTTTGTTATTAATTTTAAATTTTAATAAATCTCGATCGCTTTCTAATTAACAACGTTCATAGTATTAGTTGATGCCAATCACTAAACAAGAGAATAAAGGGGACAAAGCAATTTTAAAATGATGTTACTAAAAAAAATTTTTTTTTTTTGTGAAGGCGATGGAAAACCAGAGGCGTAGCGAGCGGGGGGCAGAGGGGGCAGATGTCCCCGGGCGCCAGCTAGTTAGGGGCACCAAAATGTGCTTTAATATTATTTTATTGATGAAAATAACGGGTTTGAGAGTTGAAAAAAAGAAAAAGGGGCGCTTTAAAATGGATCTTGTCCCCGGGCGCGAATCTTGTCCCCGGGCGCGAATCTTGTCCCCGGGCGCCATACAACATCGCTACGCCTCTGTGGGAAACTGCCAACTATTTGAAATATGCAGTGGTTGGAATGACATTATATAATGAGATTCTTTAAAAGTAATACCCCCCCCCCCCCACACAAACACCCATTTTTTTAATAATTGTTTATTCAGTGGGAAAATGGAAATGAGGTATAGTTTTATGTTTTCTTTTTAAAAAATTTTAATGGAATGACATTATAATATTGAATTCTTTAAAAAGAATTCCCCCCCCCCCCCACACAAACACACATTTTTTTAATAATTGTTTATTCAGTGGGAGAATGGAAATGAGGTCTAGTTCTATATTTTCTTTTTAAAAAATTTTAATTGTGCATAAAATTATGTCATTTATTTCTCTCATAAAGTTTTAAAAGTGGGGATTCCGAAAATAAACATATCTTAAATATATGGAAAAAAACGTGTTAAGCTTACAACCAAAAGGTGCGACTTCTTAATCACATTACTTACTCATAGCCCGCCAAAAAATGGCGGCCGCAATGTGTGAACTTCCCATCTACTAAAGCTACTTGACAAAAATTACATTCAAGTAACGCACTTAATAAGAATCCCAATTAGTGCCCCCAACCCGACCCCTGGCTTGCAACCGTACACTTTTTTCACTATTAATATTCTAATGTCCCACCACTTTTATGTCACGGATTAATAACACCATATTTAAATTGAGACTATTTCCATAAAACAAAAGAAAATATTACACACCAAGGGAACTTGGGATATTTTTAAGAATCTCATTTAGCGCAGTTATCTGGAATTTTATTTAGTGAAATTAGCGCAATTAGTGACATTATTACATAGAGAATTATGTATTTTGATAACTTTAAAGAAATTTTTTTTTT